CTACTTAAAATTTTCACTTTGAATTGAATATGTTACAAACTGAGTATTTCTAAGAAATCTAATAAAAAATCTCAAACTTTTGATGAAACTTTGTCGAATGTTGCTAATTTTTGTACAAAATTCTGGCTTACATGGTCTTTGGTAGATAACGAGACCGCTTTCATAAAAAGGAATAAACATTAAATAATCGAAAGGGGAATAGCCAAAGACAGCTAAAATGTCTGTTACCTATTTATATTTTCGCCACTCTATCTCAGCTTATGTTTTTCATATCTACGATTTTTTTGAGTGTATTGGTACTATTTCTTATAGCTTTATTAATTACTAGCCAATGCCGCTTACTTCGCGGCGCCTAATAAGAGCTTTTCGTTGGCCAATGCAAAAGAGCGTTTAAAAACAAAATTAGTCTGTAAAGTCAAAATTTTTGATTTAAGTTGAAACCACTAAGGTGCAGTATCCTCCTCACATATAGGCCAATAATAGTAACGCTGTAATACCATATGGAATACCTATCCCTTTTGGTGTCATGAGCTTTACCAATGGTCTTATTTCCACCCGTGAGATCTCTGCCAAGCATGCGTAATCTTTTTGTATGATCTTGCAACTACAACATTGGTGCGATGCGTATGCCAATAAAAGTTCTTATAGAGAAACTCAAGAGCACAGAAGTGAGTTTTCAGTTATAGGAGGGCCAAGAATCCTCGCTGTCATATAGAATGAAAAGTTTTCCGGTACATTGCTAAATGAGTCGTGTGATCTCTTTAGTATCTTTCAAATGGAGCAATGGATATACCTACGGTGATCTTTCCTTGTTAATTCACCACTTTTACAAACTTAACCCCATCCTTCATTTAGACACATTAATTTTTCTTTAATATCTATAATGTACAGACATCGACCTGTTACAATTTTATTATATGTATAGATATAGATATCTAGATGTAGATTTAGATTTCATTTATTTTATCATTTAATTCAATAAAATTTTTCAAACAGGTGGCAGCCCTCCCTAAAAATATTTTCGGCAGTATAATTTCCTAAACTT